ATTTTGTTTATCTCTGCATCCATCCATGGACACATGGGTTACTCCCACCCTTCGCCTCTTGTGAGTAACGCTGCTATGGACAGGGCTACCAGTTAATGTTCAAGCCCCTACTTTCCATTCTTGCAGGGATCTATCCGCAAGAGGCACTGCTGGGTCATGTGGCAATCCTGTGTGTCATTTTTTGAGGAACTGCCTCACTGTTCTCCCCATCAGTTCACTGCAACGTCGGCTTTCACTCCACCCAGCCCAGAGGCGGGAGTCAGCCTGTCTTCTAACTCCCCCTGAGACTTGGCCCCAGAGACCTCCCAGCAGAGCCCTCTCCCATGAGGTCCATCCATGAATTTCCACAGCTGGCCAGCCTACCTGGGTTGCTGCCAGGCCATCAATCGGCCACCTTCTCCTTCCTGGGCTTCCTCACCCAGTGGGAACACGCCCTGTCACTGCAATGTGCTAACAGCCACCACACACTGACATTTCTCCCCCTTTCACCAAGTACTATGCCCTAATTACAGGATTACAGCCACTGTGGGTGCTCCTCCGAGAATCCAGCAAGAGCCTCTATTGTGCAGGAACAACAGGCCACCCTGGGCAGGGAGATTAGAAATCAGCATGTCCTACAGTGCAGTCTTTGCCAGGGAGAGCATTAACCCACACTGATCGTTGAGTCACCGGGACCAGGTTTTAGGGCCAGCATCTCAGTTGTTTTAATGAAATCTTAAAAGTGGGAGGTTCTGGCCAGTTTCCACATTCTGCACCTAGGCCCAGAGAAAGAACTTAAAGGTGAACCTCTTACCTTTGACTGGCAGCGTTCAGCTCACCTGGCTTTCACTCATTGTCTGCTATGCTTCTCATAGTCCTTGGAATAAACAGGATCCCTTCTCTCTAGAAGAAGAGACAGGAGTTCAGGAAGTGTTAGTGACTCACCCAAAACCACATAGCTAGTAAAGAGGGGTTCCACTGGCACCAAGAGTCTAACCCCAGAGCAATGGATTTCCCACTTCTCACTGCTTCTGGGATCCAGCCCACCTCCAGGTCAGCGGAAGCCATTGAGAGGCCTCCAGTTCTGGGCTCTGATGGGCCCTGGGGTGATCCGAGTGCACCACACCCTGGCTGGCCAATCACAGACAGTCCCTTAAACTTCTCTGAGTTGGTTTCCTCTGTTTCCTCTTCCGGAACACAGATCGAAATAGCTCTCATCTAAAGCTATGCTTCCACTGCACCTGACAGTATGTGGCAGAAGATGGGATGTGAGACCATCGCTGCCTGAATACCTCCTTGGCAGAGAAGACAGAAAAGGCAGGAGGGCCTCCATCCCCCCAGCCAGACCCCGTCCCAGCTCTCCCACCTTCCTCAGGAGCTGCCATTCTTCCAACTTACTGCAAGCAGGAGCCTTGAAGACTGACTTACGTTCACTAAACATTTCTGCAAAGGTTAAAATCTAAAAAGCCTCTTAACCTGTACGAACCTTGTAGACATGAGGCTAAGTGCAATAAGCCAGTCACAAAAGGACAGATTCTGCGTGATTCCACTTACAAAAGGCAGGTGGGGCAGTCGCATTCATAAAGACAGAAAGTGAAATGGTGATTCTGGGGGGGGGAGGGGGGAGGGGGAGTTGTTTAACGGGGACAGAGTTTCAGTTTGACAAGGTGAAGAGATCTGCAGGTAGATAGTGGAGATGGTTGCATATCAGTGAGGATATGCTTAATGCCATTGAGCTGTACACTTAACAGTGATGAAGACAGTAAAAATTTGATGTTCTGTGTATTTTACCACAATGAAAAAAAATGAAAAAAAAAAAAAATTCTAGGTTGCCTGGGTGACTCTGTTGGTTAAACAACTGCCTTCAGCTCAGGTCATGATCCTGGAGTCCCGGGATCGAGTCCCACTTCGGACTCCCTGCTAGGCAAGGAGTCTGTTCTCCTGCTGACCTCTCTTCTATCATTCTCTCTCTCTCTCTTTCTCTCAAACAAAAATTCTAGGGGTGGAGCAGCAGGGAGACTGCACATTTTGCTTAGGTGTTTTTTGGTTTTTGTTTATTTTTATTTTTTTTAGCTGTGGGAGCTCATTTCTGTCTGGATCTGGTCTGATTACAGCAGAGTTACCTCTTAAGGGCAGGGGGAAGGGGCGGGACTCTAATTAATGTTCAAGGTACAGAGTCACCCTTGGGAAATCCTTAGTGAGTGAGAATAGGGCCAACAGGGCCAATTTTCCCGGTGGCATTGGAACACTGTTTCTCTGAGCATCAGATGCTGCAGCGGACTGACATTCAGGGATCATAGTACATAGATACTCTGAGTGACTCCTGGGGCAGATATTCGCACTAAGGCGCCCTCAGAACCAGGGTCTGCTGAGAAAACAGCAGCTTTCCAGTCCCCCTCGTGGTCCTTGGGGCAAAACAAGTAGAATGGGCAGAATCCTCAGCCCCATGGGAAGTGTGGTCTTACTTCTCTTCTTTCCCTTACGCGAAGTTGAATGAATCCTAGCTCAGCGAGTGTGTGTGTGAACTGGCCCCACCAAAGAGAACTGGACACGTACCTTACACTCACCCCTCTGTCCAACTAACGCTGATGGGATTTCAACCCTAAATTTTCCTCTGATCTCTGTCTGGATCTATTAGCCCTAGAAAAACAGACCTTTTCCCCCAACAGGCACCCCTACATTTCCCATCTCACAGATACTCCCAGACACCTGCTCAAACCTGAAACTTTCCAACTTCAAAGGATCTTTTCAGATCTAAGATCTAGTTCCTGGGCCCAGAGTTCAAAACTAAACCATGAAGTTCCTATCTTTTCAAAGAGCTCTATCTTCAAATTAGAAAATACCCCAGAGAAATGGTTCAATCAAGACTCCTCAAGGGGCGCCTGGGTGGCTCAGTGGGTTAAGCCTCTGCCTCAAGCTCAGGTCATGATCTGAGGGTCCTGGGATCAAGCCCTGCATCAGGCTCTCTGCTCAGCAGGGAGACTGCTTCCTCCTCTCTCTCTGCCTGCCTCTCTGCCTACTTGTGATCTCTGTCTGTCAAATAAATAAATAAAATTAAAAAAAAAAGACTCCTCGAAGACCATATTAGATAAAGCAATGGGTGTGAGCTGGCATTGTCTTTCAGACAAATCTGATGACCATCTCCTTCAGAAAGGTTTCAGACAACACCTAGCCCACTTTCAGGCATGACTAAGGGCTCCATAATGAATGAATGGATAACCAGCTGCTCTTTGATGAGTCTGCCATCATTAATTTGTTGCTATTCTAAATCAATAAAATATTCTTGAAGATTTATTTAGTTATTTTAGAGAGAGAGAGAGAGCAGGGGTGGGGCAGAGGAAGAGGGAGAGAAACTCAAGCTGACTCCCCAATAAGCAAGGATCCCAGGACCCCAAAGCTATGACCTGAGCCAAAATTGGGAGTGCCTTGTCAGTGGCTTGGGCTCTTGAGTCTGTTTGTCTGGGTTTCTCATCGCAACTCTGCCATTTTTGCCCTTTGTGATTTGACACAGTGACTGATTTCATGAGTTGCTGCCTCCTCATCTCTTAACTTGTAGATGATGATGGTGATATTACTTAACAAAGTTGTAGTGAAGAGTAACTGTAGCATGTTGATGTACCCACTATAGACTGAATCTTTGTGCCCCCCCCTCCAAATTCATATGTTGAAGCCCTTGCCCCCAGTGTGATGGTATTTGGAGGTGGGCCTTTAGGAGGTAATTAGATTTTGAGGTCATAAGTGTGGGGCCCCCATCATGAAATTAATGTCCCTTTGAAAAGAAGGAAAGCTGAGCTTTCTCTCTCCATCATGTGGGGATACAGCAAGAAGGTAGCCAAGAGAAGGTCCTCAGTAATAATAGAATCAGCCCACCCCTTGATCTTGGACTTCTTGACCACGAGAACTATGAAAAATAAATGTCTACTGGTTAAGCCTGCCAGTCTGTGGTGTTTTATATGGCAGCCTGAGCAGACTAATACATACCTGAAGAACTAAGAACAATGCCTGGTTCATAGTAAAACATTCAGTGAATATTAGCATATATTTACATATTTGTTTGTTTGTTTTGAAACTTTATTAAGAAATACTACAGGCAGGGGCACCTGGGCGGCTCAGTGTGTTTAGCGTCCAACTCTTGGCTTCAGCTCAAGTCATGATCTCATGGTCATGAACTCTGAATTGGGCTTGGCAGGGAGTCTGTTTGAAGATTGTCTCTTTCCCTCTTCCTCTGCCCCTCCTCCTGCTTGCTCTCTCTCTCTGTCTCAAATAAACAAATTAATTAAATATTTTAAAAAAAACATATTACAGGGCACCTGGGTGGTTCAGTCGGTTAAGCGACTGTCTTCAGCTCAGGTCATGATCCCAGAGTCCTAGGATCGAGTCCTGCATCGGACTTCCAGCTCCACAGGGAGTCTGCTTCTCCCTATGACCTTCTACCCTCTCATGCTCTCTCTTATTTGCTCTCTCTCTCAAATAGATAAAATATTTGGAAAAAAAAACATATTGCAGTCATTTTAAAATGTTTAAAGATTTAAAGAATGATCTAACAGCAGACCCACCACCCAACATAAGGTATGAAATATTACCAATAAAGCTGAAGCCCCCATAAACTTTCTTAACCACCTTCTTTCCTTCCCACCCAGAGGTAATCAGCCTTCTCAGTTTGGTACTTAAACCACTCCCGTGCAGTCCTTTGTACTCTTACTCTACCCATGTGTGTCTGTTAATAATGAGACTGAACCTTTAAGCCAGGATGGACATGTGCCTCTTCCAGAAGTATTTAGACATAGAATCTAGCCTGGCATGAAGTGTTGTTGGAGGAAACCATCTGTCCCCATTTGTCATCTTGTTGTGTGTGTCTTTTCACCTTCCTGAGCAGGGAGTGTGCCAGTATCTCCAGGTGGACCAGCTGGTGGTACAAGCCATTAATTAGGTCTCCCATCAGCAGGTCTGTGTTTGTCAGAGACTATGGAGCTGCAACCCCAGCCCACCTCTTTGCTGATGCCTCCCTTCCTCCCTTCCAGATGGAGATGCGGCTACAGGACCAGCAGCTGGCCAGACAGCTCATGCGCCTGCGCAGTGACATCAGCAAGCTGAAGATCGAGCAGACCTGTGATCTGCATAGGAGAATGCTCAATGATGCCACCTACGAGCTGGAGGAACGGGACGAGCTGTCTGATCTCTTCTGCGACTCTCCGCTGGCCTCCTCCTTCAGTCTCTCCACCCCACTCAAGCTCATTGGAGTCACCAAGATGAATATAAACTCCAGGAGGTTCTCTCTGTGCTGAGAAGCCCTAGAAGGGGTCAGAGGAGCCAGAACAGAATGTTTGGGAGGCGGGGAGGGGAGGCGGGAAGGGCATGGAGGTTGCATTACCTTGAGTGAGTCTCCCCAGGGGCAGGGCTTCCCTGTGGTTGGTGTACCATGGGCCCTCAGACCCATGGCAGGTCCTCTGTCAGGGGGCCCCGGCTTTGGAGCCCCACAACCCCTTGACTGTCCGTAACCCAAAGTGTTCTGCAGAAGGGCCACTCCATCCAGATGTTCAGTGAGACCTGGCTCCTAGCATGACGCATCTCCATCCTCCCCTCACTGACCCGCATTCCCGTTTCCTCAGAATCACTGGTGCTATGATCTGAGATCCCAAAGGGGGGCCACCAAATGCTATGGTTCTTGCAGAAAACTTACCCAAGGGCACTGAGCCCCCAGGGAGGAGGTGATTAGGTACCTCAGATGAGCCCATCTGCCATTGCTGTCCTCTAAGTACTGGCTCAGATTCACCACAGACAGGTGACTTAGCAGCCCTGACAGGGACCCAGGAGGAAAGGAAAACCAGAAGGAGTGACAAAGTGGAGCTTGGGAACACAGGCCCCATAGCCATCGCCAGTTTCTCTGCTGAGTGGCCGCCCAGGCTCCTGTCAGTCTTAGACCTTGGCACAACCAGGGCTGTGTCGATTGTTTCTAGTGCGTGCCAGGACACACGGGGGCCACGGGGGCGGAGCAAACTTGGATGTCCTCTCTGCTGCCTTCCCTGGCCGCACACACCAATCCCAATCTCCAAAGAGCCCTTTTGCCGTCACCCTGCTCCTCCAGGGGAGTGCCCAAGTGAACCAGGCAAGTCTGTCAGTGGATTTCCCAGCACCGAATTCTCCTGGTGGCGTCACCTTTGTCCCCTTCCTGCCCTCCCCAGAACAACTTGAGGAAGCACAGGAGCTCACCCTGAGCCGCCTCTGACATTCTGTGCCTGATTTAAACCACTAATTTTAATTGAATCAGACTGTTACTAATCTGTTGCTAACGTGTTCAGAGCTGTTTGATTTTTGTTCACGTGTCGACACCAGTTGGGTAGGTCAAGTGAAGTAGTTCAGGATTTGACTTGAAAGGTTCTCCCTGACGACAAGCATGAGGATGAGGAAGGCGAGGACCGAGGCCTCAACAGGGAGGAAAGTTAGCCTCATAGAACGCCACCTGGTACGGGTTCTCCTGCCAGCGGGGGGTGGCTTTTGACGTCACTTGGTTCAAGCCTCCTTGTGCATGAAGGAGTAAAGTGAAGCCAGGGAAAGAGGATGACTTCCCTCAGATTATGCGACTCCTTAGTGGCTACAGACAGCCAACAGATTAAATCATTATTGAGAATGTCAAGACAGATCAAATATCAAGGAACTTAAACCCCAAAGATGGTCCTAATGCTTTGCCAAACCCACCAACTGCCAAGCCCTCTACGCTCCACCTCGTGCAGCCCCCAAGCGTACCTCTCACTTTGTAGTCCTGAATATTTGGGTCCAACTTAGAGCAATGCCTGGAAAGTGGACCCACAGAACACATGTTACCCATCACACTTCCATAGTCGAAGTAAGGTGTCCTGATGTTCTTTCATGTTTCATCTTCCCGTAGAGTCTCTCTGGGCCCATGCACACCTCACACACACACACACACACACACACACACACACACACACGCTCTGACCCACATTGGGAAGGTTGTTCTTCTTTGGTGGGCTGGCAGTGGGAGGATATGAACGAGTGGTCCCTAGTTAGAAAAGAACTTGTTCTCTTTCTGGTGACGTCAAAGAGCCAGAAGCGTTATGCTTCCTTTGCAGAAGGTAGAGCAACATAGCTAAGATGTGTTTTCTGCCTGACTCTGAGCAGTGACTGAAGTGTGAGGCCCAGAGGACTGGTCCACAGAGGAGACCTCTTGGTGGAATGCCCGACCCTTTAGACCTGCTCCCCCACAGGCAGGAAGGGAGGGGGATTTTCTCCACCCCAAGCCGTCTCTTCTCAGGGATAATGTACTAGCATTGCCCAGTCCCACCGAGACATTCCTGCCAGGCTTCTCTGAGATGCGTCCTTGGGACGGCAGGGGAGCGGGCAGGCCCGCACCCGCCACCCGCTCCGGGGAGGCACACAGGCACACGCACTCACACCCACGCAGGAAAGCCCATCCCATCTTCTGAAAATAATGCCAAACTGGTTTTTTTTTTTTTCACTTTCTAGAAATCAGTCATCACAGTAATTGAAAAAATTGGATTCAACGGAAGCTGATTTCGTTGATTTGGTCGGTCCAACTGAATTGGCATCAACTGGGCATTTAGTTGTTCAGCTCGCCTAATGTCCCCTTCCTTTCTTTGTTCTCTGAGAAGAAACGGAGATCAAGGCACACTTTTTGGAATAGGTTAGATGTCTCAGCTCTTTTGCTTTGTTCACCCCAAGAGAATTTAATTTGGGGATGAGGACGGAGGAGAAAGGGGAGGGGACCAGAGATGAGAGTGGAGGAGGATGGACTGGGTGCGTCTCCTTACTCATCCATCCCCCCGTGTCCGTTAGCCCCTTATTCCGCCAGGGAACACAAATATCTCGGCAGGTCGGTTCAGTGTTGTGAATTCCCTGCCTTATGGGGCTCAAGTGATGTCTGTGCGTCACCTGTAACCTCACCTGCATCGCCAGCATCCTGGGACCACCTTCTGGTGTGCCACATGTACACAATGTTTGCAGTTTAATCATCATCTACCCATCTCTGTCATCCCCAAGGACCCTGGGTGTAAACCACAAGGTCTCCACTGACACCGCCGTGCCCGGCAGTGCGTGATGCCTTCATGGACTTGGCAGAGATCACAGAGGCCTGGAGAGCCTGGGAGGCTTGAGAGGGCCTGCTCCAACCCCGGGTCTCCTCCCTGTAGCAATACCAAGTGCTATTACGTAATTGATGGACAATTTATAATCTTATTTTTTATGATTCTGTGTTTCTATATTGCTGTTAGAAGAAGTGAATAAAAATATCTCAAAAGGAGATACTACATAAGGGGGAGAAATTTCTTTTCTTTTACCTCGTTCCTATTACAGCACACAGAGAAAGAAAAAGAGAGAGGGAGGAGGAAGAGAGAGAGGGAGGAAGGAGGGAGAAAGGAAGAGAGGGAGGAGGGAGGGAGGGAGAGAGGCAGGGAGGATGAGTTTGAGATTGACTTTGGCCATGCTTTGGGACATAATTTGGAGGTGAGGCCAACAGCTTGTCTATGGAGTGTGAAGGAAACAGAGGAATGGAGAACCACCTGCTGGCCGGCAGCTGGATGGAGAGGCTACCATTTACTGAGACGAAGATGCCTTGAGGGGAGCATGATTGGAGCAGAGGGACAAGACCAGTAGTTGTGTCTCAAGTGTGGTACATTTAAATGTACATCCCAGTGGGGAGTGAGTGAGTGGTTGGCTATAGGGACCTGGATTTCAGGAAAAGGTCATTGTTGGAAACACAAATTTGGGAGTCTAGATTTGGGTATTTGGATGATATTAAAAGCACCATGCCTGTATAAGTCCTCAAGGAAGAGAGAGAGGACCTAAGAGAAAGGCTCTAAGTACCACCTCCTGAGACTCCGGCATCTAGAGGTCTGGAGACCAAATGGAGGGTCTGTGGGAGGAGCAGAAGTGACCTTCTAGGGCTGGTGTGGATGCTCTATTCAGGGGCACAGCCTGACGCTACACTAGCTGCCCAGCAGCCCCAGCTGAGGGTATCCCTCCAGGACTGATGACATAGGTCACTACGATCACCACCATGGTGGCTTCCAAACCCCCCTGCAGATCTTATCTAACTTATTTAGAAAGGGTTTTGAACTCTGTTGACAGCATTCCCTTTGGCTTCTTAGCAGGAGCAGAAGGCTGTCCCCGCTCCTGACTCTCCATGGCAAAGGTGGGAGTCTGTGACCCGGGCAGCTGGGGAGGAAGGCTTGGGGGAGGGGTAGGTAGGGCCCTACAGCTGACAGCTGACAGCTGACAGGGGTCCTGTCGCAGCCTATCACAACAGCGGGCTCTCTCTTCAGGGAATGGGCCCATCTCACTGCAAGTTTTCAGACCTGACTCTTTTCAAACACCCTGTTTACTGGCTCAAAGCCAACAGTGACAGAGAGAGCAAGGTAGTCTCCAAAGGAAGTAGCTTCAGGAAAGGAAAACTGCAAACGTTTGAGGGCTCTGGCAAGCAGGGTCCCCCTCCTTACCACCACAGGGTGCCAAGTTCAGTGTGGATATTTCCCCAACCAGCAGGGATGGCACCGGCAGTGTGCTCCCTGTGCCAGCTTCCCCGCCCCTAGTGTTTCCTAAACCATTTCACCGAACAGAGAGCCGACCCCCATTGTTACCCTGCCTACCCACTTCTCCACGCAGGGATGGCTGAAATGCTAAGAAAGGATGACTCGCTAGAGGGCATCTGGGGTCCCAAGGTCAACCTGAGTGAGGGAATGATGAGCCATCCTCCTCATCTCCCCCACCCCGGGGGGCCTTGCCTCCCCGCTGCTGGCCCAGGCACCGCAGGGTTCCACCTGTTGCACAGTGAGCCTCATCTGGAAGGGGTTGCCATGGTTCAAGGGACATGGGCCGGGGGCCAAAAAAACACTCTTCGCCCTGTCCCATCTGTACCAGACAGAGCTGGGGCGGGAAAGCAGAAGTGGCAGCCAGCATTCCAGGAGGGGAAGGATCTGACACGGGGAACTGGGGGCTACAGAATCATTGGAAGGTCTGGAAAGTGATGGCTAGGGAGTGATGTGCTGGACTTCAGCAGGCTTGGCAGATGCCCTCCACCAGGAAATAACAGCCTCGTGCGGGGTCATGGGCTGGGCTGTGTTCCCTCAAAATTCAAATGTTGAAGTCCCAGTGCCCTGTAGCTCAGAACATGACTATATTTAGAGATAGAGCCTCGAAAGTGGTCATTTAGGTAAAGTGAGGTCACAAGCCTGGGACTGGTGTCCTTAGGGGAAGAGGACATCGGGACACAGACACACGCAGAGGCAAGACTGTGTGAGGACACGGGGAG